ACATAGAGCGTCTAGACTACATCCAGTTCTGTCCACAAAACCAACCCCCGCAAAGGACAGTATAGATGCAATAATGCCTTCTATCGACAGAAGTCTGTCGACAAAAGGCGTTATTCCTCGTAGAATGAGGTTTACATACGTCGACAAAACTGCTGAGTTTTGTCGGCGTTATGTTGACATAACTCAAAGGCAGTGTGGACGCAGGTATAGTTTTGTCGACAAAAGTCAACTTTTGTCGACAAAACCCTGTAGTCTAGACACAGCCTAACTGCTTAACATTTGGCAGACCTATAATCAACTGAAAATGAGTTGCCTTATCGACGGTTAAAAAAAGAGGCGTCATTGTGGCACCTTAAAGGCTAACATATTTGGGTATAAGTTTTGTGCATAAAAAATACTTTATCTTTAAGGTGCCACATGACTCCTTGTGGTTTTTGCAGATGCAGACTAACACAGCGACAACCCTGAGATGTACAGGCAGTGTCAAAGCACCTTAACTAATGGTAGTGCCACCAGCACCACCTACAAAGGCAAATCCGTGTGTGTGTCCCATTCAGCTAAGCTGTTTGCTTCTAAAACGTCTGTGGGGCGAATGAGCTACACCAGACAGAGATGGATGATGATTTTCTTTTCTTTATGTTCTGACTTTCAATGGAACTAAATTTTCCCTTTTTTGTGTGTTGTGAGGGACCACCTGATGTATGTATGTCAGATGTATTTACTTTATCAACAGATTACTACGGTATTAGGGCCAAAGGTACCATCAGATCATCCAGTCTGATTCCTGTATAATATAGACCATTAAACTGTACCCAACTAAGGGTGTGTCTAGACTACGGGGTTTTTTCGAAAAAACGTCACCTGCGCCTAGACTGCTGCCACGATCTTTTGAAATTAAATCGAAAGAACGCTACAGTTTTTTAGCCCACAAAACCTCATTTCACAAGGAATAATGCCTTTTTTGATACAAAATACAGGACTATGTAGCACTTTAAAGACTAACAAGTTGGTTTATTAGGTGATGAGCTTTTGTGGGCCAGACCCACTTCCTCCGAAAGAGGGTGCTATATAATGCAAACTGTGCTTTTTCGAAAGAGAGCATCCAGACTGCCTGGGTGCTCTCTTTTGAAAAAGCGGTTCACTTTTTCGAAACTACTGGCTGTAGTCTAGACGTACCCTTAGTGTCTGCTGAGCCGTTGTTGTAGCCCTAGTAGCCTATGGCTATGAAACCTGGCACCTTAAGAAAACCGCTCAGAAGTTAGATATATTTCATCAGAAGTGGTATGCAGGCCTGGCCAAAGAGTTTGTGGGGCCAAAGGCAGCACGCTGTGGTTGGCTCAGCCACAGGGCCACATGGCTCTCAGTCCGGGCAGCAAGTGAGTGGCTGGGTGGGCGGGGCCGGGAACTGGGTAGTACATGGCCCTGAATGCGCGGGACCCAAAGCAACCGCCTCGCTCACCTTGCCCAAAGGCTGGTCTTGGTGGTACGCCTGCTTTGACCTCCTCATTGTCACCACTTAGCCAAGATTTCATTCATCCACAGTTTTTTCTCTGCAACGATTTTCTATTTGCTACCAGGTCATGGATGAAAGTATTGACTATCAGCAGGCCAAGAACTGATTCCTGCAGAGCTCCATTGCAAGCAGCCCCAGTCACTGACAGTGTCCCCTTGACAAATGCTTTCCGAGATCAATCATTTAACCAGTCTGGCGTCCGTTTTACATGTCATCTGGTCCATTTTACATGTGATCTGCTGATACCCGGGAGTGATCATTTTTAATCAGTATATTTTTCAATATAAAATCATATTCCTGAAGGAATTCTAAGCTTATGGCACTTCCCTTGAGACACCAAATGTGTGCACTCATGAAAGGATGAAATTGGAGTTATTTCACAAGACCTGTTTTCCATAAACCCTGTTGTTGGCTGGCTTTAACTATAATCCCAGACTTTTATTTTAAACTAATCACAGACCAGTGTTGGCATTGCTTCCTATCTTAGTCTAATCTGTTTCTTTAAAAAAAATCTTTAGAAGTAGCACACAAAGTTCCCATGTTTGCTTTTTTTTAAGGCTCTACTGCTGCAGGGTTGTGTACTTCTGGCTCTGAAGGAGATGGGTGCTTGATTGATTAGTTCGTAGCTCTGATGCCCAGAACGGTACGTTTCTGCCAGCGTCAGGTCAACTTTTCCAGGGAGAAGGGTCTGAGCAGGAGGTATGGTGAGGAGCAGAGGGTGGATGCGTGATCTGGTAGGGAGTTAGAGCTCAGGAGGAGGCTGGGAGTGGAGTGTGTGATCTGGGTGACAAGTAGGGTGCAGGAGTGGACTGTGGGTGAAATGTCCGGGCTGGAGGTAGTTTCAGGAAGGAACTGGGGGTGGGAATGCAGGATCTGGGTGGGAGGTAGGCTACAGGAGTGGACTGGAGGTGGATGTGAAGGGACGGAGATTGGGTGGAGGAGCATGCTTGGGGTGTAGGTCCAGAGTGACCTGGACAGATGAGAGGATTGGGCCAAAAGAAATCTGATGAAGTTTAACAAGGACAAGTGTAGAGTCCTGAGCTTGGCATGGAAGAATCCCAAACATTGTTACAGGCTGGGAACCGAATGGCTAAGTAGTAGTTTTGCAGAAAAGGACCTGGGGATTATAGTGGAAGAGAAGATGGATATGAATCAACAGTGTGCCCTTGTAGCCAAGAAGGCTAATGGCATATTGGGGTGCATTAGGAGGAGCATTGTCAGCAGATCCAGAGGAGTGACTATTCCTCTTTATTTGGCTCTGGTGAGGCCACATTTGGAGTATTCTGTCCAGTTCTGGGGCCCTGTGACGGGGTGAGGCAGCCCAGCCCTAAACTAGCAGGGCCTGGCCAGGGTTACCTGGCTGCAGAGGCCCCTCCCCCATGGCCCTACCGAGCATGCCCAGGCTGTAGCTGTGCTATAAAAGCCTGGGGAAGGACTCAGTAAGGGGAGACCGCCGGAGGAGGAGGAGGACCGGTGAAGGGAGCGCCCACTCAGCTGTTGCCGGGGACTCCAGGAGAGGCCGGAAGGGACGTGGAGGCGAGTTGGGGCCTCCCAGGGACTGCCGGCCGAGGGGACACTGGCCTGGAGCTCGCAGCAAGTTGGGCAAGTACATGGGAAGGAAGCCCGGGGATCCCGGTAGGAAGTGGCCCAGGGCAGGAGCAGGAGCCGCCTCTCCCGCCCCGAGAACCTTGGCGCGTTTCGGCCGGATTGCCCCACGAAGGGAGTGACTCGTTACCCAGGTGCTCACAGGGCCCTGGGCTCGGACCCGGTGGAGTAAGGGGGGCCCGGGTCCCCCTATCTGGGGGCCGTCCCTGCAACAACCTATAAACTGTTTTCTGGACTCAGGCCAGAGGGCCTTAGCCCAGCTTAAAGGGCCAGCTGTGAACTGCAGTGTGGACTCAAGGGGGCAGGCGGGAGGGGGCCCCCCCGCCCCCACTATAGAAAGGATGTGGACGCATTGGAGAGGGTCCAGTGGAGGGCGAACAAAATGATAAGGGGGTGGGAGCGCATGACCTATGAGGAGAGACTAAATTATTTGGGTTTGTTCAGTCTGCAGAAGAGAAGAGTGAGGGGGGATTTGATGGCAGCCTTCAACTTCCTGCAGGGAGGTTCCAAAGAGGCTGGAGAGAGGCTGTTCTCGGTGGGGGCAGGGGGCAGAACAAGGAGCAATGGTCTCAAGTTGCAGTGGGGCAGGTCTAGGTTGGATATTATTTCCCTAGGAGGGTGGGGAAGCGCTGGGATGGGTTCCCTAGGGAAATGGTGGAATCTCCATCCCTAGAGGTTTTTAAATCTCAGCTTGACAAAGCCCTGGCTGGGTTGATTTAGTTGGGATTGGTCCTGCCTAGGGCAGGGGGCTGGACTTGATGACCTCCTGGGGTCTTTTCCAGCTCTATGGTTCTATGATTCAGGGTCTTGGCAGAGGTAGAGTGCAAGAGGGAGCTGGGGTTGGGGGTGCAGGATCTGAGAGGGAGGAAGGGTAAAGGAGTGGGATGGAAGTGGGTGTGTATGTCTGGGCTGGAGATAGGGAGCAGGGTAAGGTGGGGGTGGAGTCTGGGAGGGGCAATAGTGTGGGATGGGACGGAGAGAACAGATGTGGCTCTGTGCTTGCACTCAACACCCCACTGCTCCCATTGGCTGTGATCCCCAGACAATGGGAGCAGCTGGGGTGAAGCCTACAGACTAACACCACTAGTGGTGATGCATATGGGGGAGTGAGAGAGGAAACCACAGGCTGAAGAACCACTTCCACCCTTCCCACTAAGCATAGCTGTGGCACGCACAGACTTTCAGGGCTGCAGGCCAGGGAGCCAGGAGAAGGCCTGTAAATCCTCGTTCATAATTCAGACCTGTAGACTCCATTTAACATCCTACTTGAGTGCTGGTGGACTGGAAAATTAATCAGCACCTCCTGCGATAGGAACGCCTCACATTGCTTCTTTCCAAATGCGGAGCAAAATTATTTCGTGAACCCATTGTTAGCAACAAGAACAGAGTTTCCTTTCTCGCTCTCATAACTGCCATAAGTTTTTTCTAGCATTCCTTTTCTTCATAGCACACTCCATAGCCACATTGTGATGCGTAGCTCTGCCAACTTTTGGTTTCCCCTGATATGTTGAACATCTCTCATCACTATGAATGGTTCCCAGTTGTGTTGCTTGTTATGTATTAGTCCTGCGCATAAAGAGCGACCAACCTGCTTCAGCCATTAGAAAGTAGTTGGTATATTGTCTCTCATCTACAATGTTTCTCCATTCAGGCGCTGCACGGGAACCATCGACACAGACCCTGGGCATATACAGGAAATCATAACCACATACGATCTTTTCCTCGACTCCATGTCAGATTCCAACACAACCAACTTCACCAACCCCTCCACCTTCATCCTGCTGGGTATTCCTGGCCTGGAGACGGCCCATCTCTGGCTCTCCATCCCCTTCTGCATCATGTACATCTCATTGTGAAGACGGAGCCAAGCCTGCATAGACCTATGTACTATTTCCTCTGCATGCTGGCCGTCACCGACCTGGTCCTGTCGACGTCCGTCCTGCCCAAAATGCTGAGCATCTTCTGGGCCAATTCTCGGGAGATTGGTTTTAGTGCTTGTCTCACCCAGATGTTCTTCCTTCACTGCTTCACTGTGGTGGAGTCTGGGATCTTCATGGCCATGGCGTTGGATCGCTACGTGGCCATCTGCCTTCCCCTGAGATATTCCCTCACTCTGACTAAGCGCATGGTGACCAAGATCGGCCTGGCTGCGGTGCTGCGTGGTGCCATGCTCATACTACCGTTTCCACTCCTGGCAAAGCGCTGGCCATATTGCAGAACTAACCTCATCGCCCACTCGTACTGTAGGCACATCGCCGTGGTGAAGCTGGCCTGTGCTGACATCCGCATCAGTAGTTACTACAGCCTCTTTGTGATATTTTTTGTGACAGGTCTGGACCTGTGCTTTATTGCAGTGTCCTATAGCAAGATCCTCCAAGCCCTCTTCAGCCTCCACACAAAGGACACCTGGCTCAAGACCTTTGGGACCTGCAGCTCCCACCTCTGTGCCCTCTTAGCCTTTTATATCCCAGACGTCTTATCCTCCGTCGTGCACCGGGTGTTTCACAACATTCCCCAGCATGTCCTCGTTCTCATTGCAAACATACACATTCTGATTCCCCCTGTGGTGCACCCCTTCATCTATGGGGTGAAGACCAAGCAAATCCGGGACAGGTTGCTCAGGCTGTTTACTCATAAAAGGACCTAATTTTTTCTCTTAGTGCCTTCACTCTAAGAACAAACTCCATGCAGTTACAAAATCCATGGTTCTGAGCCCTCTTCCCAGAAACCCAGACTGAATAATTAAACAGACATTGGAGCTTTTCCTGATCTTACTGTGCTGTGGCAGCGTGAATAGCTGAAAAATCAGCGTATGTGCAACTCATTGAGTTGCCATATTTCTTATTGCTTGCAAGTGGGCCTCTGAGGTCCATCCCTGCTCTGCCTCTTCTGCCAAGTCCTTTCTGCGGTATTATCACTAGGCTCCATGTCAGCCGCAGGAGGGTGTGTGGCGTGGTGGGACACAGCAGGGACAGATAGAATTGGGTTTTATATAAGAACATCAGAACTATCACCCTGGGTAAGACATAGGGTATGTCTAAACTACACGGCTCCATCGATGGAGCCATGTATATGTGGGGAAAATCAAATAACTCCAATTGTGTCTAAGGGGGAACACTGGAGGAAATCATAACTTTCTAAAAGAAAACTGCTGTAAGGGTTAAAAGTTTTCCAGACCTCTCTCCCTGTATCAGAGTGAAATCAAATTAACTCTAATCAAAGACCCTTACAAATGCCTATCTCAAATTCATGGATACTCCTAGTCTGTCAAAATTTGTCATGTAAACCCTTATCTTTGTCACAGTTTGCCTTGTAGACTTCTCCACTCCACATTCTCATGTGCCTTTGTTCTGTAAAACTTACTTCTAGCACTCCTGGGGTGAACAGAAGTCTCAGAGTGCTTCTGCTGAGACTTTGATATGTTAAAGAAGAACAATCAACAACTGAACTGTCTAAGCATTCTGTATGTAGGATACCTGAATCTGTCTCTCAAAGCTGCTGCTTTCACTCTTGGAAGTGACAGCCTGCATGCATGCATCATAAAGTTTTTCCTTCTAGATTTCAAGGCTTTGGGACGAGGAGGAATTAATTATATTGGGATGGTTCAGCTTGAAAAAAGAGATGACCAAAGGAGGAGATAAGAGAGCTAAGTTATTGAGTGTTGTGGGAAAATAGAATAAGGACATGGTATCTATTTCTGCACATAACACAACCACTAGGGGTCACATAATGAAATTAAAAGGTAACGGAGATATAACAAACAGAAGGAAGTATTTCTCTAGGGTCAACCTATGGGACTATTTCCCAGAGGACATAGTTAGGGCCAACACCAGTGGCATGAAGCCGGGATGGGCCAGGATGATGTCCCTAGCCTCTGTTTCACAGAAGCTGAGACTGGTCAACCCAGGCATTAATCACTGAATCATTGCCCACATCTGTGCATTCCTTCTGGGGCAAATGACATTGGCCAGTGTTGGCAGAGGATATTTGGACTAGACGGACATTTAGACTGTGTCTAAACTACATGGCTCCATCGATGGAGCCATGTAGTTTAGACACAGTCTAAATGTCCGTCTAGTCCAAATATCCTCTGCCAACACTGGCCAATGTCATTTGCCCCAGAAGGAATGCACAGATGTGGGCAATGATTCAGTGATTAATGCCTGGGTTGACCAGTCTCAGCTTCTGTGAAACAGAGGCTAGGGACATCATCCTGGCCCATCCCGGCTTCATGCCACTGGTGTTGGCCCTAACTATGTCCTCTGGGAAATAGTCCCATAGGTTGACCCTAGAGAAATACTTCCTTCTGTTTGTTATATCTCCGTTACCTTTTAATTTCATTATGTGACCCCTAGTGGTTGTGTTATGTGCAGAAATAGATACCATGTCCTTATTCTATTTTCCCACAACACTCAATAACTTAGCTCTCTTATCTCCTCCTTTGGTCATCTCTTTTTTCAAGCTGAACCATCCCAATATAATTAATTCCTCCTCGTCCCAAAGCCTTTCCATGCCCCTAACAGTTTCTGTTCAACTTTCCGAACAATTTCCTATTCCAATATTTCTTTTTTATTTGGAATCCCAGAACTGCATGCAGTTTTTATTATGTGGGTGTCCCATGAGTTTGTTTTGAGGCGATATGATTTTTTTCCCCGTGATTGTCTATCCCTTTTGGAATAACTCACAACATTCTCTACATTCTCTACTTTGTTAAAGTTCCACCGCACCTTGAGTTAAAAATGAAGCAACGGCCCTTGTTCCATACCAACAACAATTCTGGTTGTACGATCCTAAAACACGTTTTCCCAAATATTTTCAGCTGCAGAGCCCCTATGAGATCCTGAAAGTTTGACAGAGCCCTTCAAATATCGTGATTTTTAATTCAACAGATAACCCAATAAACTGACATAAAATTGGTGGAACTGTCTGTAGCCTCTCTGTTGTCAGTGCATGGGTGGCTATTGAAAGCATTGGTGTCACTGCCTCTGGGGGTGTGTTTGGCTGGGCAAGTGAAAGACCTGGAGAGGATTGTGGCTTGTCACAGCCTCCCAGCGTGAGAGGGAGCCCAGATTGGTATGGCAGAGGGCTCAGCGGTACCGTAGTTCCAGGATGCTCTCTGGTGAAGTGTGTCGCATGCAACAGGCCCTGCTAGACTACAAGTCTACTTCCTTTTTGTCACACACGGAGTTGCTGACAGAGACACTGTGGTGATGGCAGGAAAGTCAGGGCTCCTGAGTTCTGTCTCATAGAATCATAGAACCAACGAGCTGGAAGAGACTTCAGAAGGTCATCGAGTCCAGCCCTCTGCTCTAGGCAGGACCAAACCCAACTAAATCAACCCAGACAGGGATTTGTCAAGCTGAGACTTGAACACCTCTAGGGATGGAGACTCCACTACTTCCCTAGGGAACCCATTCCAGTGCTTCACCACCCTCCTAGTAGAATAGTTTTTCCTAATATCCAACCTGGACCTCTCCCACCACAACCTGAGACCACTGCTCCTTGTTCTGCCATCTGTCACTACTGTGAACAGCCTTTCTCCATACTCTTTGGAACCTCCCTTCAGGAAGTTGAAGGCTGCTATCAAATCCCCCCTCACGCTTCGCTTCTGCAGACTAAACAGACCCAAGTCCCTCAGCCTCTCCTCATACGTCATATGCTCCAGCCCCTTAATCATTTTGGTTGCCCTCCTCTGGACCCTCTCCAATGCGTCCACATCCTTTTTGTCTGTCTGTTAATTTCCATGTGACCGTGGCTAAGAGACATCTTCTATTGCCTCAGTTTGCCTATCTGCATGATGGGTCTATGTTCATAGTCATTTGTGTGCTCGGTTTTGTGATGATCCTTGAATGAAAAGCGCAGCCAAATAAAATGATAGTTCCTGAGGAGAGATGATGACACCATCTAAATTTTTGTTAGTCTCTAAGGTGCTGCAAGACCATCTTTATTATTAAGTTTCTCTTGTTACAGACTAACCCCTTGGAAAGTTACTGAGGAGAATTACTAATCTGTAACTGCCAACAGTGTTCAGGGCTCACCTTCATTATCTGTCTGCCAGACCTGTCTGTCTATTATCTACACAGCCACTCTCGGCATATACAGGGAAACAGGTCCTGTGGAGATGAAAGTATTGTCCCTGATTGTCTTATTAATCAATTCTAATACTGAAACATACAGAAACAAACAGAGCAGCCAACTCCTCTGTGTCCCAGAAACAAGCTGAAGTCCCCCTCTCCCTTTGGGAAGGTCCCTTAATTGGCCTTTAAATCTAAAATTGGGTCAATAACACATTAGACCAGACAGGCTTCTCTGCCACTTGTTTACATCCCAAGGCGGCTTCTCCTCTAGATACGGCGCTCACCCCACTGGGAGTAAAGAGAGCTGGATTATAAATGGTGCACAAGCCTGTGTCGGCTCTCGGCGTGGGAAGTTTCCGCAGTTCCTGGGCTCAGAGAGGTGCAGGACGCAGCTATCTGAGGGGGATGCCCAGGGAAGACTCTTCTGACTCAGCATTTACAGGTACCATCTCTGGCAGATGAACTCCGCTGCTCAACAAACAACGTGGGTGTGATGGGGCAAAGAATTGATCTGTTTTTAATTTCTGCTTTATCCAGCCATTAAACATCCCCGGCCCTTTCTACTTCTGATGAGTTTGCTCCGGTGTCACTGAATGTCCCTCTTTACTTTGCCCTGTACCTCCGGCTGATGGCCTCCAGATCTGAGGTGGGTGTAATTCAGTGGCTTGCTGGTGTTAGTAGCTGTACAACACAAGGCCCCATTCTGAGGCTGTGGCTTAGTCTTTCCTTCAGACGGAGTTTCCTTCGGAGTACAGAGAACTGGGTAAAGATCTCAGGCACCAGCTGTGTGTTAACACGCAGATTCTGTTTCCTCCTCTTCTTACACTTGAGGGCTCTGGCTGTTAACGGCAGTGTTGTTACCAGATTTTCACATACTGGAAAGCATGGAGATGCTAGGCCTCCTTCATGGAACAATTAGAAGCATTTTTCAACATGGGCAAGAGGTCTTCTCCATGAGCTCGTACATCAAAAAACAGGTCAATGGGAAAAGCTTCCAGGCATGGAAAATAACAGTCCGACTGCTTAGAGACTGGCGCACTTATAAGCAACTGAAAATTAGGTTTCCTTAACAAGGGTAAAAAAAAAGTGGAGGCATGTGTCACCTTAAAGACTAATAGATTTATTTGGGCATCAGCTTTTGTGGATAAAAACAGCTTATTGGTAAGTTGCCACAGGGCTCTTTGTGGATTTTGCAGACACAGACTAACACAGCAACCCCTGCGAGACATACAGGTGGTGTCAGAGCACCTTAATGGATGGTACAAAGGCAAATCTGTGCCCAACCATGGCAATGTCTATACTGTACCCTTCTGCTGCAAAATCTTATGCAAATGAAGTGCTAAGTAGAATATTGCTGTGCTTCATTCGCATAATTAATTAGGGGCTGGTTTGTGCGAGAGGCTTTTGCGCAAAAAGGAGCTGTGTAGATGGCAGAAAAAAACCCTCTTGCACAAGAGGGGTTTTTTGGGCAAAAAGGAGCCGCTTACACAGCTCTTTTTTGTGCAAAAGCCTCTTGCACAAAAACAGCCCCTAATTAATTATGCAAATGAAGCACAGCAATATCCTAAGCTTTTTCAGAAGAAAGGTGCAGTATAGACATGTCCCATATGTCTAACTAGCCATTGTTGTAGCCCTAGGAGTCTACGGCCATGAAACCTGGCACCTTAAGAAAACCAATGCTCAGAAGTTAGACGTGTTTCATCATAAGCACTTATGGAGAATATTAGGAGTAAGCGATGAGGTCAGAAAAATGGCTAAGTGAGTCTCTATCACAAATAATTTGTAAGAGAAGACATCAATTGTTAGGCCTTGTGTAATGAATGGATCATAGCCGACTACCCATTATGGCTCTATTTTGGAAGCCAGATAATCTAACAGGAGAGAGGTGTAGATCTACGATGTCTTGGAAGCCTATGGTGATCAATGACATAGTTATTATGTCAAATAGAATATAATTTGAAATGGGGGGACTTTGCTCACAGGGCAGCTGACAAGCAAGCATGGAGAGTGACTAAGGTCGAAGGTAAGGTATCCCTGTATTGAGTTCCATAACTTTTGTTTGACAAAGGACTGGTCTATGATAGAATTTTGTATCCTAGAAATGTGGATTCCCAGGTTTAGAAAGGACAGCAAGAACCAGGTCATCCACTCCCCTTACAAAATGCAGGATTTGTTGTGATTAAACCATTCAAAAACCTGGTTTTCTGCAAGTTCGGTATACCTCCTTTTTGGGGGCATAAGGATCTTGCAGAAAAAGGGGGTTTTGTGCAAAAAGAAAACTGCCATACTGCTTGTTTTTGTGCAAAAACCCCAGCGCAAAAACGGATTGGCAGAAAATATGCAAATGAGTCCCTTGTAGTGTAGATGTAGCCGGAGGGAAACACCCTTGATGGCTTTCACGTGCATATTACAACCTTAAATATTCCATATTTCTATCTTTATATAGAAGAGTTATACATGCACCAAAATAAGATATACAGACCCAGCAGACGGAGGTATTAAAACTAATAGGTTACATGAGGTGTTTTGTCCAAAGCCTCGTCAGGTTATGCATATTGGTTTTCATAAGTCAGTTTCATAAAGCATGGGGGGGGGGTGAATCGTCACATGCATGACATGTGAGAAGTAGGGTGCTGGAGTGAACTGTGGGTGCAGGGTCTGGGCTGGAGGTAGGGTGCAGGAGGGAGATAGGTGTGCAGGATCTAAGAGGAAGGTAGGGTACAGGAGGAGAAAGGAGATGGGTGTGTAGCGTCTGCACTGGAGTCAGTGTGCAGGAGCATGCTGTGAGTGCAGGGTCTTGGCGGAAGTAGGGTGCAGGAGCAGGCTATGGTGGGGCGTGGGGTCTGGGAGGGGCGATGGTGCTGGAAGAGGCAGGGGAAAACAGGTGTGATACAAATGCTCCACACTGCTTCTTTCCAAATGCAAAACAAAATTATGTATTGAACCCATTGTTAGCAACAAGAACAAAGTTTCCTTTCTCACTCTCAGAACTGGTGTAAAACTTTTCTAAGATTTCTTTTCTTCATAGTGCAGTAGTTCAGGACAGCGAGACAGTGAATTCAGGATTCACTGGTGTGGTGTCCTGAGAGGTCTCCTGCCCTGCTAGTGATGATAAACGTTTGGCTGCGTGCGTTTTCATAGACTCCCTCAATATAATATGGCCGTCCTGCACAGGTATCTAGCCTAACAGACTTTACGAGAACCCCCAAAGACCACAGACTCAGATAAGATCTAAAGGAATCCAAGGCAGGTTTATTGCCGAACAAAGTACATTCATAGTGGTTGGTAGCCAGATGGCCTCCGAGCCACTATGTATTTGTACCCGGGACAATGGAGTTGGCTCAATCAATAGTATGGGTTTCACTATCGCCCCCTAGGCTGGACACAGAGTTCAGTGAGGTACCCTAACCTTAATAGATGGAGGACCAGTGTTTGTTTTTTGGGGTTTTTTTTGTAAAAAAAGAAGTGCTGGTACTCCAGGGGAAAAGTTGTTGAACAAAAAAAAAAAAAAAAAAAAAGTTGTTGGGCCCTTTTAAGACACATAGCCCCTTTAAGATACCGACTGTTGGACATTTGCATACAGAGATGCCGGTACATTCCATTCTTTCCAGGTAACCTCTCACTGGAGGTGCCACTACTGCGTCTGGAGATGCCATCACAAAAAAAGCACTGATGGAGACAATCCATGATACGCAACGTACGTATCACCTTGTGCATTAATGACACGTTTGGAACTCCCTCTCCCCCCGTACGTTCCTCCAAAGAATTCCTATTCACCACCTGTGGTTAAGCTTTCACTCCTGTTGTTTCAAACTATTTTACCATGTACTCAACTGGGTTCCCCTGTCCTGTCCTGGTGGAATCTATTTACATATTCCATGTGTTTTTAGCAGTGTTAGATGTTCTACTACCAAGAGACACTAACTTGCAGGCAAATATCTGATTTGACACGGCCTGTATGTGACTCATAGCATAACCATTCTTGACTTGGTTCAAGTACTGGGCCCATGTGTCCGGCTCTTTCTTTCTCCTACACATTGCACACTTAATAACCACAATTGTAGCTCTGCCAAGCATTGATTTCCCCTGATCTCTTTAACATTTCTTATCACTATTAAGAACATCCTTTGTGTTGCTTGCTAGTTATTTGTCCTGCATATAAAGAGCGACCAACCTGTTTCACCCATTAGAATAACCTTCATTAGTGGGTATATTATCTCTCATTTACATTGTCTCTCCATTCAGGTGCTTACACAGGAACCATCGACACAGACCCTGGGCACATAAGAACATTCGGTGCCATAAATTCTGCCTCTGGGTTGGACATCTTCTCCTTGACTCCATGTCAGATTCCAACACAACCGACTTCACCAACCCCTCCGTCTTCATCCTGCTGGGGATTCCTGGCTTAGAGGAAGCCCATGTCTGGCTCTCCATCCCCTTCTGCACCATGTACATCATAGCCCTCTTGGGGAACTTCACCATCCTCTTCATTGTGAAGAAGGAGCCGAGCCTCCATCAGCCCATGTACTATTTCCTCTGCATGCTGGCTGCCACCGACCTGGTCCTGTCCACGTCCACCCTGCCTAAAACGCTGAGCATCTTCTGGTTCAATTCTCAAGAGATTGGTTTTAGTGCTTGTCTCACCCAGATGTTTTTCCTTCACTGCTTCACAGTGGTGGAGTCTGGGATCTTCGTGGCCATGGCGTTAGATCGTTACGTGGCCATCTGCCACCCCCTGAGACACTCCATCATGATGACCAACCGTGTGGTGGCCAAGATCGGCCTGGCTGTGCTGTTGCGCGGTGCCATGCTCATATTGCCCTACCCCCTCCTGGCGAGGCACTGGGAGTATTGTAGAACCAACATCATCGCCCATTCGTACTGCAGACACATTTCTGTGGTGACGCTGGCCTGTTCTGACATCCATGTTAGTAGTTCCTACAGCCTCTTTGTGCTATTTGTTGTGACAGGTCTGGACCTGTGCTTCATTGCAGTGTCCTATAGCAAGATCCTCCAAGCCCTCTTCAGCCACCACTCAAAGGATACCTGGCCTAAGACCTTTGGGACCTGCAGCTCCCACCTCTGTGCCCTCTTAGCCTTTTATATCCCAGACATCTTATCCTCCATCATGCGCCGGTTGTATCACAACGTACCCCAGCATGTCCTCATTCTCATTGCAAACATGCATGTTCTGGTTCCCCCTGTGGTACACCCCCTCATCTATGGGGTGAGGACCAAGCAAATCCGGGACAGGCTGCTCAGGCTGTTTACTCATAAAAGGATCTAAGTTTTCTCTTGGTGCCTTCACTCTCAAACCAAAATCCACTCAGAGCTCACAGGTGATATGTGGCTGACCCTCTTCCGAGAATTACTGACTGGGACAGTCAGACATTAGAGCCTTTCCTGACTATGTACAACTGGTTGAGTTACCATGTTTCTTATTGCCTGGAACTGAACCTCGAAGGCCACACCCTCTGTCACATTTCTTCCACAAAGAAGTCCCTGCTCTTCTTCTTCTGCCCAACTTCCTTCTATCATTACTGTGTTATTACAACTGGGTTCCATCTCAGCCATGGGAGGAGTGTGGGGTATGGTGGGACACAGCAGGGGCAGATACAAGTGGGTTTTATATAAGAACATGAGACTGGCCATCCTGGGTAAGACCGATGGTCTGTCTGGCCTCAGTGTGCTGCCTTCCAACAATGGCCAATGCCAAGTGCCCTGGAGGAGCAATGAATAAATGATTCATGCCCTGTCATCCACTTCTAGCTTCTGTTAAAAATAAGCTAGGGACAGTATCCTGGTCTGTTCTCACTAATAGCCACTGATCTTGGCCATCACTGTGTCCTGTGGGAAGTAGTCCCACAGGTGAACGCCGATGAAATACTTCCCTTTGTGTGTTTTAGATTTTTTGCCTTTTTTATTTTGATTGGGTGATACCTGGTTATTGTATTATGTGAAGAAAAGCATACCCTGTCCTCATTCAATTTTCGCACACAATTCAATATATGATAGCTTCCTCTTAGTCCTTTCTCTTTTCAAGCTGGAGTTCTAATATAATTAGTCCTTCCTCAAACCAAAGCCATTCCTCACCTCTCAATGTGCAGCAAAAAAAAAAAAAAAAAAAAAACACACAGGTCGGGACAGAAAATCACAGAAAATATCACATTGCCTCTACATAAACTGATGGCATGTCCATATTTTGTGAACGTCATGAAGATCTGGCAGTCCTACATATAAAAAAGGTGTATTGGAGTAGGAAAATGTTCAGAAACTTTAACAGAAATTATTAGGGAAGTTTTGCAAAGAGCTATCCACAATGACTCCAAGGTCTCTTGTTTGAGTGATATCTGCTATATAACGCACTTCATTTGATATGTACCTTTGGGATTATGCTTTCCAAGGAGAGACTGAGTATATTGGAGAAATAATATTAAACACACGGGCATGAATACAATCCTTATGTAATTTTCCCAGAGAGATGGTTGGCTTCAGAACTGCATAAAGTTCTATCAGAATCAGTGCGTAGATTATAGTCTAATGTCAAAATAGGCAACATCATGGCTATCCAGGCTGCAACTGGACACAAGAGCCTTGTGGCTCAAACTTTCCTTAATCACAGAATCCTAGAATCCTAGAACTGGAAGGGACCTCAAAAGGTCTTCGAGTCCAGTCCCCTGCCCTCACGGCAGGACCAAGCACAGTCTAGATCATCCCTGATAGATGTCCATCCAAATATCTCCTGTGTTGGAAATTCCAGCAAGTCGCTTCCTCCAATCTGGCCCTGGGTCACATACCCGTTGCAAGGCCTGGGCCTGTTTGCATTAATGATCATGTGCCCCCTAAAAGAGAACCTGGAAAACAGAGTGCGCCCAAGAAGACGCTCCAGGAGGGTTGTGAATGAAGGAACTGGGTAGTCTGTGGGAGCTGCACTGAAACTTCTCAGGGACATGGCATTTGGCTCGCAGCCAGCTCCATGTGTTTTATTCACTAAAGCCATTGTCATTTTATATGTGGAATTATGATCACACATCATCCCAGCTGCAATGGGTCTATGAAAGGCCCACTCCCGAAGCCCAAATACAAATCCACAGAGCAGAACCACAGAGATGCCTCTGTCCAGAGACCTGTGTAATTAAATCGGAAGAAACCGACTCTTCCACCTACATGCAAACACACACGTGGATTCAGGGGTGCACGTCTAGCATGTACTGACACACTTCTGTACTATTTATTGCAATTGTAAAATTAGTGCCTGGAGACCCAAGCTAAGATCAGGGCTCCAAAGGCGGTGGACATCCACGTAAAAAGAAAGTGCCCACAACGAGTGGATAGTGTATTTAGACAATGGTAAAAAGGAATATACAATACAGTGACTCCTTGGCAATTACTACACAACAACATTCACTTTTTACACAATAATACATTTACATTAAAAGTCCCTTCTCTTTTAAATACTTGTTGGGAAATAAATACACACCTATCTGAAGTCATCAGGGGTATGTCTAGACTGCATCCCTCTGCCGGCAGAGGGATGCAGGACAATGAGGTGGGGATTTAAATATCCTGTGCCTAATTTGCATGAAAATGGCCACCACATTTTGCCAACTCAGCACTTTGTTGGCAAAAAGAGGCAGTCTAGAGGGGGATCTGTCGAGAAAGAAAGACTTTTTCGACAGATCCTGTAAACCTCCTTGCAGGAGGCATAAGGGATCTGTCAAAAAAGGCTTTCTTTCTCCACAGATCCCCCTCTAGACTGCCTCTTTTTGCCAACAAAGTGCTGAGTTGGCAAAATGTGGTGGCCATTTTCATGCAAATTAGGCACAGGATATTTAAATCCCCACCTCATTGTCATGCAATGTCTTTTCTGAAAGATCCCTTATCCCTCTTTGAAATAAGGGATAAGGGATTTTTCAGAAAAGGCTTTATTTTCCACAAGATCCACGTCTAGATTGGCGCGTTATTCCGGCAAAGCTCTGTGCCGAGAAAAACAGCAGCCATTTTTATGCTAATGAAGCGGGGGAGATTTAAATCCCTGCTTCATTAGCAATTGCGATACGTCTAATATACATCCCTTTTACGAAAAAGGGATGTAGTCTAGACATAGCCCAGTTGTTTTATGCACAAAGTTAAGTGGTTAAGCTGCAAATGTTATATACACAGATATTTATATATACACATATGTCAATACATTCACCTCTCTATACCAACACGCAGCCTCTTACGCACATACCCACCATACACGGCCTAGGAGTGCAAGTAACTTAAGTTTCTTACAGGTATTGTAGGGCTGCACCCAATCCTGGTGGAGGGCTCAGGCCAAGGGGATGGGAGGGTCTGATGCGATAGCACCCATAAGATGTTTACATGGAGGGTGGAGGGGGGCTCAGGGCAGGAGGGTGTGGTGGTGCAGGAGTCATGGCTGGGGGATGTGAGGGGTTCAGGAGAACAGTAGCAACCTGGCAGGTGTGGCTGCAGCCCCTTCCTGCCCTGTGCCCAGGGTGGAGGGCTCAGGGCTGAGGCAGTCCTGGGCGGAGAGGGGCGCACTCCAAGCCAGCCTCTTTCACCTGCCTTCTGTTTAGCACAGCAGCCTGCAGAACGTCCTGGGAGCCAGGCTAGGAGCACACCGCCCTAACCACGGCAGTGGAGTGCCCCAACTGGCTGGCTTCTTGGCTAACATTTACCTCTGAGGCATGTGCACACTTGTCTACACAGAAACACTTGTTCATACATTTTTCCAGGGGCTGCCTAAACCAGCCAGCTGGGAGGAGGGTGGCTGGAGGGTAAAATGGGAGGCAGGTGGAGAGTATGGAGAGTGAATGAGGCCAAGGATGTGAGCAGGATGTGGCTGGAAAGGGGCAGTGAAGGAGAGAGGAGGCAGTGGGAGTGGTATATCTGGTGGATGAGGACTCATGGGGAGACTAAAAGCTTCAGTGCATGAGGAGGTGGGAGCTGTCAGCTGTGCAGATGGGGAAACTGAGGCACACACCTCATGGCATTGACAACTCTCTGTATTTTGTTATCATCGCTTTGGAAAGCACAATGGTCGACAATGCTGCACAAATGGGAAGGGATGTTCTCTAGTGTCCCAGAGATGGCACGCTTGCTGGCTTCTAAGATCACCAGAGTGAATGGCAAAAAATTTGAAACGGTGCACAGAACTCTTCAAAACACACGAGGCTAATACAACCATGTTTGCAACCCTTGATTGTTCTGTCATCAAAGCACATAAAATGCCTTCAGCACACTGCATTTGCATTACTGAATGACTAACACTCCTGCGGTAAGCTAATGGGGGAAGCGTGACATTTTCTGCCCCCAAGCAACACCCTGGTATGTCATGTAAAGTATCAATGGGAACATTATGATTTGCTGATTTTTCTCTGCAAGTGGGAGACAGGGGAGGGATCAAGTGAGGATTTCCTGTTGTGTTCCTTCCCTCTGGGGCACCTGGCATTGGCCACTACTGGCAGACAGGATACTGGGCTAGATGGACCTTTGGTCTGACCCAGTCTGGCCATTCTTATGTTCTTAATATGATGGCCCTCTTTGTATGCATGAATATTTTTTGTATCTAAAGGTATGAATATTGAAAATGTGCCAGGATTTGAAAGGTTATCCTGGATGACATCTACAAGAGAGCTTACATCTAGTTTTGCCAGGACATTCGGGATGTACCAACAAGGTAATGCCCCCTTAAGAAACACCATAGAAACTTAACCTCTCATGATCTGCGGAGGGGACTTTGCTTAGAAAAATAGAGTTCCTCCAGTGTGGCCAAAGCTATTATGGGGGATGCAACATCCTCACCAGGCATAACCCAGAGGGTGACCAAAATGATGAGGGGGCTGGAGCACGTGACCTATGAAGAGAGGCTGAGGGGTTTGACTTTGTTTAGCCTGCAGAAGAGAAGAGTGAGGGGGGATTTGATAGCAGCCTTCAATTTCCTGAAGGGAAGTTCTAAAGAGGAAGGAGAGAGGTTGTTCACAGCAGTCTATGAGTCTATGGATGGCAGAACACGGAGCAATAGGCTCAAGTTGCGGTGGGATAGGTCTAGGTTTGATATTTGGAAAATCTATTTCTCTAGGAGGGTGGGGAAGCACTGGGATGGGTTCCCTAGGGAGGGGGTGGAATCTTCATCCCTAGAGGTGTTTAAGTCTTGGCTTGACAAAGCCCTGGCTGGGTTGATTTAGTTGGGATTGGTCCTGCCTAGAGCAGGGGCTGGACTTGATGACTCCTGAGGTCTCTTCCAATTCTATGATTCTATGATTCTAACTCCCCTCTTAA